ACTCGATCTGTTAGATCTGCACCCCGAGCTCGGGAGTCATGCGCCGTTGATGCAATCGTGGGCACAAGACAAGTGGAAGGTGATTTCGAGGGCAGAGGCATCGAGACACCTCAGGTTACTCGTGAGTGCGGCGGGTAGAGACCCACAGAAGTATGCGTTGCGTTCAGGAAGGATCGGGGGGGCCACGCATCTAGCAAGTATGGGGGGCGTCGGTGATTCAGATCTAGAGAGCCGGGAGGTGGAAATTCTCGGCTTTCATGGTGTATGTTAGGGCGGGGGGTGAAGGAGCAAAGTTTGTGTCTCAGGCCCTTACGGAACCCGAGGAGTGACCTGGGAGCGGTTCGGAGGAGTAGGTCATCGGACATGCCTAATGGAGTAAGATATGTTTAGGCCAGAGGCCGAAACAATAGTAATGATAGGAGGGCAATCTTGAGAAGTTTGCAACGGGTTAGTCCGATAATATAACGTTGGGAGCAAGACGGCATTTTACCTGCGCTCTCAGTTTGTTTCATGTGTCTTGGGTTNAGATAGTAGGGCAATCTTGAGAGTTTGCAACGGGTTAGTCCGATAAGATAACGTTGGGAGCAAGACGGCATTTACCTGCGCTCTCAATTTGTTTCATGTGTCTTGGGTTTTTCTTTGGTTGCCTGCAGAAAAATAATCCAGAATTCTTGAGCAAACATAAAAAGCGTCATTAACAATTTTTTATTATTTTTCATATGACGGAGGTACCTGCTTCGCCATCAAAGAAGGAGGGAGCAGGTGGCGACGAGCTGAACTGGGCTGGTTGACCATCCGGCGCGAGAATTTTTATTTTCTTCAGACCAAGAACCTTGAGTGCAATGAGGGAGAAAGCGAGGAACGGACTGGGAAGGACAGCAACGAGAGCGTGTACGGACGGGACAGGTCGAGTGGCGTTTTGCTCGGGCTGACTACAGCGGCGCCGGATGGAGCTGTGGCACCGGAGCATGCGGGCGACATCGACTCGTGGAGCACGGACAAACATTTCTGTCTGTGTCATCAATTTTTTTCGTTTTTTTTCTGACTTTCCGTGTTCGTTTTGTGTGATGACGTCGTCACCGGTTTTGTAGAGAGACCCGTCAGAGATGGCGTGGCTAACCCGGGTGCATTGGCAATGTGGAACGATTCTTAGCTAGTGTCGATATTTATATTTTTATTACACAGACGATCGGGAGAGATTCGGGTGATTGTCAATTGCTGCTATGATGGCTTTGGTTGGTTGTTCTTTTTCACTGTACGGCCGCAGACACATTCTGACAGCACTTCAGACAGCAGCTTTGTGCCCCGCCAGCTGCTTGTTCCATGCCTACCATGGTGTTTTTGTACAGACAGCACTTCAGACAGCATTATGCTGTAGTCGGCAATCTTCCGTTTTGGTATAGAGTGGGACAGGGAGGGGGTGATGCTACTGTAGTCGAACGGTGGGACGGACGTGCAGTTCAGTTTTTGGGCACGCATACGGTGCTGCAGGGATTTTTAGGTGTACCTNAGGGTGTTTTTGTACAGACAGCACTTCAGACAGCAGCATGCTGTAGTCGGCAATCTTCCGTTTTGGTATAGAGTGGGACAGGGAGGGGGTGATGCTACTGTAGTCGAACGGTGGGACGGACGTGCAGTTCAGTTTTTGGGCACGCATACGGTGCTGCAGGGATTTTTAGGTGTACCTCTTCGGGCTCTTCTTGGATACCTTTTTCTCGTTATATGTGTGCGTGTTATTTAGATCCTCAGATGGCTCTAGCACTCTCGTGACCACGGGCTGAGAGTCTTTGGTAGATTTTGGCATTTAGCATTTGACATAGACTCCTCCCCTCCCCGGGGGAGGCCGAGGCCCGCAAGTGCAGTTAACCCT